TGGCTAAGGGTCCGAATTGATGTGAAGGCAGTGAGTTGTGTTTTTAAATGGCACCGGTTTGCATGGGAAAATTGGACACTGAATATGCAAGACCCAAGAAGAGCCCATGGGTTTGCAATATGGTGCTGGCACAGAATACTGAAAATACTATGGACTGTCAAAAGGACCAGCCAATCTGTTTGGAAAGAAGTATGGTCAGAATGCTCAGTACAGGCAAGGATGGCGAGGCTTCGTCTCACATCCTTTGGACATGTGGTCAAGAGAGACCAGTTCCTGGAGAAGGACATCATGCTCGGTGAAGAGAGAGGCAGAGAGAAAGAGGAAGGCCCGCCACGAGATGGACTGACACGGTGGCTGCAACAATGGGCTGGAGCACAAGAGCAACTGTGAGGATGGGGCAGGAGCAGGCAGGGTTTCGTCGTTCACTGACGCAGAGTCCTTCCGGGTCAGAACAGACTCAGTGGATAACTCAGAGAACTGGTCTGGGCTATCCACGGAGGACAGAAACATACCTGACATTATGAGTTGGAATCGAACAATACGGTTATCTTTCAGGGAAACCAAGACAAGAACCAAGTCACTTTGAGTAAAGTTAATTTTTTTTAACCCTATACTTTGGTTCTTCCAGAAGCCATCAGCCCTGTAGCCTACTGACCCTGTGCCCCTTCAAGGCTGTGTCAAGAGCATCCTGTTCTGACACACAGATAGCTCGTCCTGCCTACCGAAGACTTCCATTTAACGCAAGTTCTATCTCCGCTCCCCTGTGCCCAAGGCCAGTCCTGGGCTGGGGCTGACCAGCCAGTCTGAAGAACAAGTGTTCTATCAGGTCGTTCCTCCTCCCTGGAGGAAGGGGACCTATGGCCTTGACTCCTGGCTTGGCCATTGACTCAGAGAACTCCTCTTCTGTGCCTCAATTTCCCTATGTGTCAAATAGATGAACACTCTTTGTCAACTCCCTTGCCTTGAGGTTGAGAAATAGACTTGGAGTGGTTTTTCTTTGAGAAACATTACTGTTTGCATTGAATTCTGTTGCCCCCGAACATGTACATCCTCAGCCCTTTACCTGTGGCTAAGCAGCCTTGTTGAGAGGTTGAAGCACTCGGCTGCTAACTGAAAGGTCAGTAACTTGAGCCCACCAGCTGCCCTGCAGAGGAAAGATGTGGCAAGCCTTCCAAACCTTACAGGGCAGCTCTGCTCTGACCTATGGGGTGGCTGTGATTGAAATCTACTCATGTAGAAGTGGGTGGGTGAGTATAAACCTCAAACTCACGGCCATCGCGTGGATTCTGACTCACAGCAACCCGACAGGCTTCTCAGGGGTCTGTAGCACTGTAACTGTTTTTGTTTTTTAAATTTAAATCATTTTATTGGGGCCTCATACAACTCTTATCACAATCCAACCATCCATCCATTGTGTCAAGCACATTTGTATCTTTGTTGCCATCATCATTCTCAAAACTTTTTTTTTCTACTTGAGCCTTTGGGATCAGCTCATTTTTTCCCTACCTCCCCCACCCTCCTCTCATGAACCCTTGATAATTTATAAATTATTATTATTTTCATGTCTTACACCGACCACTGTCTCCCTTCATCCACTTTTCTGTTCCCCGTTCCCTAGGGAGGGGGTTATATGTCGATCATTGTGATAGGTTCCCCCTTTCTCCCCTCACCTTCCACTTCCCCTCCTGGTATCGCTACTCTCATTATTGGTCCTGAGGGGTTTATCTGTCCTGGGTTCCCTGAGTTTCGAGCTCTTATCTGTATCAGTGCACATGCTCTGGTCTAGCCAGATTTTTAAGGTAGAATTGGAGTCATGAGAGTGGGGAGGAGGAAGCATTAAAGAACTAGAGGAAAGTTGTATGTTTCATCGGTGCTATACTGTACCCTGACTGGCTTGTCTCTTCCTTGTGACCCTTTTGTAAAGGGATGTACAATTGTCTACAGATGGACTTTGGGTATCCACTACACCTTGTTTATCTTTAAGCCTTTAAGACCCAGATGCAATATCTTTTTATAGCCAACACAATCAGCTTTTTTCACCACATTTGCTTATGCACCCATTTTGCCTTCAGCGATCGTGTCAGGGAAGGTGAGCATCACAGGATGCTGGGTTATTAGAACACAGTGTTCTTGCATTGAGGGAGTACTTGAGTAGAGGCCCAATGTCTGCCTGCTACCTTAATACTTAACACATAAATATGTGTACATAGATCTATTTTCCTATCGTTATATATAAGTATGTTTACATTTAATTCCTGCAGGGTGTGTCTTACATCAATCTCTTTTGAGATATCAGCGAGTACGTTGATTCAAGTGAGTGAGTAGAGACCGCAGGGGAAGACACCAAGGAGCTAAGGACTAGAATCTGAAGCGAGTCCAGGGCCTTCCTTCCCCCAGAGCAGGCCGTCAGAGAGCCAGTGCCCCAAACCCAGGCTCCTGGCTTCCTCAACTGTGAGAAAGCACCTTCGTTTGTTGAAGTCCTCCACTTACAAGAGTGTGTCACGGGGGTCCTAGATCACGGAGTCATTTATCTCCCAAGCACAGCGCTTTTTATTATAGACCCTCACGAAAACCATCGCAACAGCAATTGACTAGTGTAATCACAATGGAGAAGAAGGAAAAAAGTGGATCTGGGAACCTGGGTTGCTTAGTTCCCAGGGTCCCAGAGTTTCCAGACCTCCTCAAGAGACTGTGGAGCTAGAAACCTCCATCCCCGATGTGCCCAAGCCATAAAACACCAACAGTTACTGGTTGCACCAGGGAGTCTCTGGGGGTTGCGCACAGTTGATGGTCTAGGCTTCTAATGGAAAGTGTGGGGGTTCAAGCTCACCAAGAGGCCCGGAAGGAAGGCCTGGCGACCTTCTGAACAACCAGGCACAGTTCCACTCTGATACCCAGGGGGGTGTCATGAGTCAGAGTCGAACAGGTGGCAACCACACCTGGCAGTCACACCACAAATGGATTCTATCAAGCTGGAAAGGGGCGATTTCCCTCATGCTTGTGACTTAGGAAGTCCCTTGGGGGCACACATGGTTTGCGACGAAACCAAAGGTTGGTGGTTTGAAGCTCCCCAACAGAGACACAGAAGAAAGGCCAGGTGACCAGCTTCCCTGAAGATCACAGCCAAGAAAACCCTGCGGAGCGGTTGGTTCTGCGCTGTGGCACATGAGGTCTCTGGGTGTCGCACTATACTCAATGGCAGTGGGTCTGGCTTGGCAGGTGAATACGGAGGGAACTGCAGTTAGACAGTTGTCATCTGGGGAGTGGTTCTAACAGCCAGACCTGGAGGTGGCGGGACAGAAGAGGAGAAGGTAGGCCCTGGAGATACCAGCCCTTCCTGACAGCAGCCTCCAGAGGGGACCAGGTATCTCCTCTGGCACAGATGCCAGGCTGGGGGATGAGTCAAGAGGGGAGGGCATGGGGTTCAGGGTGTGGTGAATACAGCCAGCATTGTGCTTTTTAGCACCTTCACAGTACCCAGGGGTCAGGGGCCTCCTGGAGGTGGGCCTCCAGGGTCCATGCTGGGGAGAGACCCCATGGGGTCTGCAGCCTGTTCCCCTGGGCCTGGGTTGCCAGGGTTGCCTCCCCCAGCCTCCCTCACCGCAGCCTGATCCTCATCTCTGAGTCACCCTTTGATGAGGTCCCATTTCCTGTCTGAACCCCGTCATTGAGCTAGAACCTTCAGTGATTGTGTGTTCTTGTGCCTCCGGCAGGGGCAATGACAGGGCTCCAGCTCTGACCCAAACACAAATCTCTTCTTTACCCTGATCCCACCAGGAGGGGCCCAACCTTTGTATGCCGCTCACCACCTCTCAAAGCGCTGCTGAACTTGGGGGTGGGCGGGTCCCAGGAGCAACTAACTCCACCCCTCTCTCCATCTGCCCTTTGGGGCTCCTACTTTGCGGGGGGAAATCTCACCAGCTTCTAGCTGTTTTCAAAGACAAGCAGCGCGTTTATTTATTGCACAGACATTACGAAGTACTGTACAGACAAACGCGGGGAAACGATTCCACCAAGAGACAGGCAGGTTGGGGCCTTCGCTCCACATTCTGTTCAGTAATAAGCTGCTTGCACTGATGAATACACTGTGAGTATCTTTCAGATCAGAAGAGTCCTTTCCACATCACCATCTTTAATGACCATGTCCCGTGTGCCCTGTGAGAGGCTGTTCCCCACCTCTGAGTGTTGGAAGGCAGGACTCATTAGGGTACCGCAAATAATGCTCCCAGAAACATCTGCCATCTGTCCGTCCGTCCTCCAGCAAGACTTGCTGAGGGCCTGTTCATCAGCAGGTGTCTTTCTGAGCACTGGGCGGCCAGCAGTTTACAGAACAGACAGGGACCTGTGCTGACACATCTCTGGGCATACTCTCACTGCTTTCTCTCCCATCCGGTGACAACTAGACTGCTGGGCCAAGGGCATACTTTGTGGGACCCGCCCCCCACTCCCCCCCAAGGATCTTGCCTTAGGGCGCAGCCTAGAAGAGGGGGAAGTCTGGGTTCATCTCTGCCCAGATTGGCCAAGCAGTAGGCAGTGAGACAACCCTTTCCCCTGCGCCCCAGGAAACCGGGAAGGCAAGCCCCGTTCTGGGTATGGGCAGGGGATGAGCCTAGCCACTCCTTGGCTAAGAGCTTTAGGAGGTGGCTGCCTTGCGGGGCTGGACTGTTAGGCTTTGGCATCATTTTCTAAATCGGAGCCACCCTAGGTACTCCGGAGCCTCGGTGTCACCTCTCCCATCTAGCAGGTAGCCAGATTTCCCCAGGGAAATCCTGGGAGCCGGTCTGGGGAAGACTCCCATCCCAGGAAGGGAGGGCGGGTCCCAGAAAGGGAGGGCGGGTCCCTTCCGCGGGTCCCTCCCCCGCCCAGGCCCAGCCCCCTACCGCCTGCCTCCGCCCCTGCCCTTCCAGCGCTCCAGGCAGGTGGGGCGGACACACAGGTAGCTCCAGAGCCCAAACCTGTCGGGCCGGTTTGAGAGCTGGGGGACCGAGGGAGGAAGGCTAGTGAAGGATGCAAGCCCTGCCCGGTGCTGCTCCTGCACCTTCGGCCTCCTGAGCCAGCCCGCTCCTGCCTACCCAGTTGCCCACCCAGCCGCCCGACCCCATGGCGCAAGCTTGGGGCGTCCTGACGGCCCTGCTGGGCCTGAGCCTGGGGCTGCCCCTGAGGCTGACAGGGGCCTGGGCCTCGGACTGCGAGTCCCTAGGCTCCGTGGAGCGCCTGGCGTTCTCCCCGGCGTCCAGGTCCCGATGGCTGGCCCCTCGTGTCCGCGCGCCTGGGCCCTTGGACTCGCTCTATGGCACAGTGCGCAGCTTCCTCTCCGTGGTGCAGCTCAACCCCTTTCCGGCCGGTGAGTGCGCTCTTTCTCCTCCACCCGCAGCTCCAGAGCCTCCGGGAGGTACTGGGGCCCCAGTTGGCTTCCTTCTTTCCCCTCCACTGTGGGGTGCACTCACCCTGTCAGGGACCACCTGCCCGCCAGGGTGTCTAGCAGCTGCTTGCCCTCAGTTTCCTAACCAGAAGTCCCCTTGTGTCTGAGGCGGTGCCTGGCGACCCTCTTGTGTGACCTTGGGCAAAACCCTTTCCCTCGTATGCCTCAGTTTCCCTGTCTGCAAAGTGGAGGCCCTTGTACTAGACGTTCCCAAAGACCTGGCTATGACAATCTCTGCGTCTAGGGTGCTGAGGGTTGGAAGGACCGGTAGGGGCTGCAGGATCCCTCCCCTTCCCAGTCACCTACCCACTTGGGTGCAAGGGCTACTGGATCAGCACCCCCTGCCCAACCTGGGTGCAGGCTGGTGGCTACCCTGCTGTTGGGCCTAGCTGTAGGTCTACCTGGCCTCTCCCAGCCCCTGGCCCTAGCAGTTTCTGTGGCCTGGGCTCCAGGACCATAGGACACTGTTCCCTGAGGGTGCCAGGTGTGGGTGGAGGCCTCCCTGGCCCCGCAGTGGTGAGGGCCGCAGGGCAGGGGGGGTGGAGGTGGTTTGGACCCAGGGGCAGGGCTCTGAGCCCCCAGCTTGGTTCTCTCCCATAGAGTTGGTAAAGGCCCTGCTGAACGATTCGGCCTCCTGGAAGGTAGATGAGGTAAGCCGGGGAGTGGGGTAGATTGCCTTGGCGGGGATTCCAGGGCGAGGCTGCAGGGGGTCCTTAGCAAAGGCTTCTTGGATCAGCCCAGCCCACTTGGTTGGGTATCTGCCAGGGTGGGGCGTGGGGTGAGGGGTGTCCCAGGCTACCATCTCTCCCCTTTCCCGGGAGTGTCGCTGTTGGCAGGCCTGGGTTCAAACCAGCACTCTTGTCACTTACTGGCAGCGGGGTTAGCAATGAGTTCCTCGTGTCCCCGAACTTCACCTTCTTCTAACGTAAGATGGTCATGAACAGTCAGGGCCAGTTCAGCTCCTGTGAGGGGTTTTGGTCGAATTTGCCCGCCCTGCACTTCTGCCCACCCCTTGCCCCTCTCCCTGCCGAGTGGAGGTGGGGCAATGGGTCCCTCTTTGCCGTCTGCCCAGGTGGTGCGGTACCAGGCTGGCTACTTGGTGTGCGCCGTGGTAGCGGCCCTCTACCTTCTGGGCGTGCCCATCACTGGGCTCTGCTTCTGCTGTTGCCGCTGCCGCCGGCGCTGTGGCGGCCGCCTGAAGACAGAGCACAAGGCGATGGCCTGTGAGCGAGGCACCCTCATGGCCTTCCTGCTGTTGATCACCCTCGTGCTGCTGTGAGGGACGGCCCAGGGCGGGGGGAGGGCCGGGGGCGTGGCCTAAGGAAGTCCTGGCACCCGACGAGCCCCCACCCACCCACCCCCCGTGTCCCTGCAGCATCGGCCTGGTCTGTGCCTTTGTCACCAACCAGCGTGTGCACGAGGAGACGCGTCCCAGCCTTGAGGCCGTGCCTGAGACGCTGCGCAGCCTCCAGGGCCTGGTCTCTGATGTCCCCCAGGTGAGCCCCTTTAAACCTCCACACCCAACTCAGCCCCGGAGCACCAGGCCCAGGCAGGACAGAGTGAGGAAGGGTCCTCTAGTCCTAAGCCTCTGCAAATTGGCAGGGCGGCGGGGGGTGGGGGTGGGGGGTGGGGGTGGGGGGGGCTCTTCCTCCGCGCCGCTGCTGACTGCCATCTGGTGGCTAGTCCCTGTCATGAGCAAACGCCGGGGCTGGGCTTGGAGCACCCTTACCCTCTTGGGTAGCGTGCGGGCTGTGGGGTGTCGGGGAGGTGGCCTGACGCCCACTGTTTGCAGGAGCTGCAGGCAGTGTCGCAACAGTTCTCCCTGCCCCAGGAGCGAGTCTTGCAGGAACTCGATGGTGAGACTCATGGCTCAGGGGCTGCCTTGGGAGACCCCCACTCCCTCGCCCTGACTCCCCCTGGGAAGGCCCTCGCAGAGCAGGGGCTGGGCTCGACGGGGCTGGGCTTGTGCTGCAGGGTGGTGACACCCGGTGCCCACCTTGGGGGTGGGGTAGGGCACATGGGGCAGCCCCTTCGATTCCTGGAGGGCCGGCTCTACAGATGGCAAACCCCTGTGCTTGTCAGACGTGGGCGTGAGAATCGGGAACACCATCCACACCCAGCTCAGGAGCACCGTGTATCCGGCGCTGGCCTCCGTGCTCAGCTTAGGCCAGGGTGAGCCCAACCGCCGCCCCCCAAGCATGGGTGTGGGCCAAGCAGGCGTCCTCCTGGGGGGTAGGCCCCACCCTGAGCCAGCCCCACCTAGGACTTTCCATCCACATTATCCCAAGCACCTGTGGCATCCCAGCCCACATCCTGGCCTAGCCTGTCCTGGGGCAGTTTCCCTTACAACAGCGAAAGCAGCTTTGTGACCACCTGTCCCTTTGCTGGAGGGTGGGGTGGCTGTGGCTGTTCATTCAGGATGCGGGTCTCTCAGCCCTGCAGGTCACTGTGCACCACCTACAAGTCCTGAACGCCACCTCCTGGGGGCTGCAGAAGGGCCAGGAGCAGCTGGAGCCCCAGCTGGCAGAGCGCCGGGGGTACCTCCAGATGCTGCTGCAGAGCCCTGGCTGCCAGGGCTGCTCTGGGGCCGAGAGCAGGGCCCGTGCCTTGGAGCTGGGGGCTGACTTCACACAGGTGCAGGCCCAGCCCGGAGGCCTCTGGGGGCTGAGAGGGGTTGCTCTGCTGTGGCCCAGGACCCCTGGGCATCTGTCCCCAAGACGGACCCCTTCTCAACCCTCCCCTGTCCCCACCCACCTAGAGTTCACAACAGGTATTCTGGCAGCGGGTCACAAGCCCTGTGCCCTGAGCTCTACACACACACACACACACACACACACACACACACACACACTCACACACTCCTGCGTTCCTGCTGCCACCCAGGGAAGTCGGGACTGAGGTGAAATTCATTTTACCCATAGGGTTTTGAGGGTGCAGAGGCCCCCGTCCATTCAACCTTCTCTAGGGGTCCCTTTCAGGCCACCGTGTGGACTTTGTCAACACACTCCATTGCAGGTGCCCCCTGTGGACAAGGTCCTGCATCGACTAAAGGGTGTCCCTGAGGCCAACTTCTCCAGCATGGTCCAGGAGGTAAGCACCCGTGTCCCCGTCCCCCCTCACACGAGAGAGGCCCCTGTTTCCAGTCTCACTTTTAAGATGTGGATCCAAGCAGAGCCTCACCTACCACTGGGGCTGGAGGCACCTGCCGCCTACCCTCACACCCTCACGTCAGCACACAGGCTGGTGGGGAGGTAGGCAGCCAAGAGGAGTTTGAAGCCAGAGCCCTGAAGGGAGGGCCTGGGAGCCTCGAAGGTAAGCGAGCGCTCAGGCAGAGCCCTGGGGAGTGGTCAGCGGGCTGTGCGGCGGGTGGGGAGCGGGGTGGGCGGTGTGAGTCAGCATCTAGTGTGGGGAAAATGGTGAGTCAGCTGGGCTGGGTGGCTAGAGCCTAAGGCTTGAAGAGGAGAGAGTGGGGTGGGGGTGGGGGGTGGGGTGGGGCTGGAAGGGGATCTAGACACTCATAAATGCCACCCAGGGATGTAGGACCTCCTGTGGGAGGAGCCTTCAAAGGGTCCTGAGCAGTGTGGGCTGTGACGGGAGCTGGGTGTCAGGAGGGTGGCCTAGCAGTGGGGTGTGTAATGGACAGACATCTGCAGTGGTCTAGACAGCAGGTGCTGATGGATAGGAAGTGGGGGTCTGTAGGTGTTTGGTTTTGGGGGGTTGTCTGCCTGTTCTTTGAGTTGGGAGCCCTGAAGAAGGTGTACCTCCCTCTGGGCCTGGTGGCTTCAGGATCCTCTGAGCTGGGGGACCGGGGTGGAGGGTGGGAGGCACAGCTTAGCTTGGTTCCCTCAGGATAACAACACCTTCAACACCCTCCCGCTCCTGGCTGCCCTGCAGACGGCCCAGGTAGTCAAAGGTGAGGCCCTGCCCAGCGTGCTGCCCCTTCGCCGCCCTGCAAGGAGGCCCTGTGTGGGGAGGAGGGGCTCGGGGCTTCCCCTGGGGTTCTCAGAGTACTGGCTGGGGACTCTTGTCCCACCGAGTATCTGGGCTGGGGGAGGTGAAGGTTGCCCTTGTTGGCTGAGCCCCTCCGCCTCCCTAGAGTGGACCTTTCCTGTCAACCCTGGATGTTCTTCCCACCTGCCCCTCTCCTCCCTGGGCCCTGGGGGCCCTGGGGCCCCTCCCCACCCCATAAATACGATTGCTTCTTTGGGCAGAAATAAAAGAGACAGTGGCTCAGGACCCCCAGGGCGTGAGGACGCTGGCCCAGGAGTTCCCAGGCTGGGACACGGCCTCCCACTGGAGCCAGACTCTGGAGGATGTGGAGCGGAGGAGCCGCCCCTACCTGCAGGAGGTGCAGCGATACGAGAGATACAGGTACCTGGGAGCCCAGGGGTGGGGGCTACGGGGCAGCCAAGTTTCTAGGCCTCAATTCCAGGCCCCAAGAGCTCTTGTGGTCCTGAGCCTCTGCCTCCAGTTAGCCAAGACTCTTGGAGGACTCCTGGCCCCTGCTGGCTATGTACCCTTAGGGCCCAGCCTGGGGAGCCTCCTAGAAGCAGTGGGTCTCATATGTGTGGCATATCTGCCCTTTCAAAGCCCCAGTGCTGGGGCCAGTGGCCACTTGCTGACCGCACACCCCCTGTGTGTCTCTCACCAGCCCACCCAGTGCCTGCCTTCTCTCTGACACCCACCCTCTTTGCGACAGGTGGATCGTGGGCTGTGTGCTATGCTCCATGGTCCTGCTTGTGGTGGTCTGTAACCTGCTGGGCCTCTGCCTGGGCATCTGGGGCCTGTCTGCCAGGGAGGACCCCAGCCACTCGGAGGCCAAGGGCGAGGCTGGAGCCCGCTTCCTCATGATGTAAGAAAGGGCTGCGGGGAGGGGAAGGCTCTCTTCCCTAGGCCAGCTCCTGGTGTGGCTATAGAAATAGTGTCCTGGGAGTCAGAGACTGGACTTGGCGCTGGCTTGTAAACCAGCTCACTGGAGGACCCCAAGAAGATCACCTGTCCATCTGGGCGTCCATGCCCCCTCTGTATCTTTCTTTAAACCACTTGCTGCCATTCTATCTATCCTGACTCACTGTGACCCTACAAGACAGGGTCAAACTGCCCCTGTGTGTTTCTGAGCCTGTCACTCGTTATGGGAGTAGAAAGCCTCATCTCTTTCCCTGGATGCAGCTGGTAGTTTCTAACTGCTGACCTTGCAGTTAGCAGCCCCATGCATAACCACTATGGTACATAAGGACCACATCCTTCTTCCATAGCGGTCTGGCTGCACTGGCTAGTAGGCCCTCATCCTCATCGAGCCCAGGCACAGCCTGGGAATCCTGCTTCTCCCAGATTCCACCACGCACCATCCACAGGAGACAGCAGCTGGGGTGGAATCTGTTACCCTTCCTGCACCTGAGGGTCGCTCAGGCCAGGGCTGCCCCATTCCACTTGTGCGACTGCTCACTGCACAAGGTGCTGGTGCCGCAGTGGAAGTAGGGGTTGAAAGGCAGCCCATGCTTCATGCACAAGGCCTCCAACCCTGGCATGGGGCCGTGCTCATCCCACAAAGGAGTGCTATAGGCCAGTGGTACCCAGCCCCAGGTCCCCCACCAGGTGCTTGCCCTGCTTCTGGCCCAGGCAGGCCTCTGCTATGCTTGGGTGGTGTAAAGTCTAGAGGGGTGGAGCCCTGTTGAGGGCTAGGCCCACAGGTGGACAGTCCTGGCTCATTGGGCAAGATGGTACCCTCTCCTTTGGGCTTCCAGGGCCAGGCAGGCACAGGCAACAGGAGGGATTGAGGTGGGCAGCCTCCTGTCCTTTTATTTCCCCCAGGGGTGTGGGCTTCAGCTTCCTCTTTGCGGCACCCCTCATCCTCCTTGTCTTCGCCACCTTCCTGGTGGGTGGCAACGTGCAGACGCTGGTGTGCAGCAGCTGGGAGAGCGGGGAGCTGTATGAGGTGAGCCTGCCCTGCCCCAAGGGCCCAAACCAAACCCCCTGCAATTGAGTAGGTCCTGCTCACAGCGACCCTACAAGACAGGGTAGAGCTGCCCCTGTGGGTTTCCAAGACTGTAACTCTTTATGGGAGTAGAAAGCCTCTTCTTTCTCCCTTGGAGGGGCTGGTGGTTTTGAATCTTTCAATTGGCAGCCTACCAGGGCACCTCGAATGAGGATAGAGGCAGGCATGAAGAGTCCGAGAGAGAAAAGCCTCCAGGAGCTAGAAGTGGGGATGTGGAGAGAGCCCAGGAGTGGGGGGCTGCAGAGATGCTGTGGGGCATACTCTGAGGGTCTGGCCTCAAACCTGACGCCCTCTTCTCCCAACTCTGAGCTTGAGACCACGGCACCCTCAGTCCTTCCACAGGAGAGCCAAGATGCAGACCTGGATTTGAAGGTCACACTGGCTCCTCTCCTAGATAGGTGTGTGAAGATTCCTTGCAATGAGTTAGAGCCCAGAGGTCATTTGAGTTAGAGGCCAGGTTAGGGCTGCTGTCCTGGGCTTTTTCCCACCCCTGGTCTCTGCAATGCCGGGCAGCCTCACCTCTACCTGCTCCAGCCCATCTCTTCCTGCCTGCCACCAGTTTGTAGACACCCCGGGGAACCTGCCCCCGTCCATGAACCTGACTCACCTTCTTGGCCTGAGGAGGAACATCAGCATTCTCAGGGCCTACCAGTGAGTGGGCAGCCTGGGCTGGGGTGTGAGGGGAGGGGGCAGGGGGAAGGAGCAGAGGTGGGCAGGCAGCCAGGGTGGTGGCAGCCCCTTGCCCATCACTCCCCTGCCCCTGCCTTCCTCAGGGAGTGCAAAGAAGGGGCCGCTCTCTGGAGCGTCCTGCGGCTCAATGATTCCTATGACCTAGAGAAGCATCTGGACATTAGCCAGGTAGGGGACACTTCTGGGGGCTGTGGGGGCCCTTCTGCAGAAACCCCATCCTCTGATCCTACTGCTAAGGAGGCTTGGCACCATGAATCCAAGACATCTTCCTGTTCCGATTGAGGTGGCCTCTCAAGGGTAGAGGTCCCAGCCAAAGCTTAGGAGCCCAGAGAAGGTTCAGGGGTGGGCGGGTGGGGGACCAGCTCTGAGCACAGAGCCCCAGCTGAAATGGTGGCAGGAGAGGATGGTGGCAGTGATGAGTGTATGTGTGTGTGTCCCAGCTGACAACAGCACCCCAGTGCGGAGTGGGGTGGCAGGAGGGTGTGGCAGTGATGGGGAGGTGATGAAGCTGGGTCCCCTTTGCAGAGGGCTCTCTACAGGCGCCTTGCTGAACTCATTCAGTCCGTCTGCCGGTGGTAGGAGCTGGCTTCTACCCCAGCCAGCCTGACTCTGGGACCTGTTCTCTGAGCCTTTGGGCTCTCCCAGAACTTGGAGAAATGTGTGGCTGTTGGCCAGACGGAAGAAGACACGGAACTTACTTGATTGAGTCGTTCCCAACTCCTAGTGGGTTTCTGAGACTAGCTTTATGGGAGTCAGAAGCCTCATCTTTCCCCTTTGGACTGGCTGGTAGGTTTGAACAGCTGACCTTGCAGTTAGCAGTCCAGCCGGTCACCCACTAAGCCACCAGGTACTTGCTGCCTTTCCTCCCCACTCCCAAGTGAGGGTGGCAGCAGGAGGTACCTGGAGTTACCAGGACCTCCCCTTTTCCAAGCACATCCCAGGTAGAGCCATGTCTCTTTCTCCTGAGGAGTTACTGTGGTTTCGAACTGCTCACCTTGGGGTTAGCAGCCCAACTTGTAACCACGACCCCGCTAGGGCTTCAAACCCTGGGGGTTGAGTTTCATGACCCCCAAGTCTTCTCCAGTGATCGGGAAATGCCCAGGACCTCCATGGTTTGCCCTGACCATGTGAGTCGTCCTTTCCCACATTCAGCAGATGTGCGCGGCCATGTATGGCTAGGTCACAGGTGCTGAAGGTCTGGCAGAGAACAGGCAGAGGGGCCTGCGGCACGGAGCCGACTGACTGCCGTCAGCAAGCACACAGAGGCATGCGGCGAGTTCAGAGCCGTGGGTGCCGTGACGCCCCGAATGCACGGGGGTGTGAGAGAGGGCCCGGGAAGCTGACTTAGCCATTGGATAGGCATCCCAAAAGAGCTGGGTTTTGGGGCACAGGAAGGAAGCAGGCCTGCTGGGAGTCTATGTGGAGCTGGGGTGCGGTAGTGGGGGACCCTGGATATCTGTAGGGAGGGCCCTGAGGCCTGCTGACCTTCACCAGTGGGGAGCAACTCTCGTGACTGCCCTGTCTCCCGCAGTACATCACCAAGCTGGAGGAGGACATGCAGAGCCTCACGGTGGATGTGCAGGACCTGGACGTGCTGAGCCCCGCCGCCCGCCGGGACCTGGAGGCCCTGCAGGACAGCGGGTTCGAGAAGATCAACTACCCAGCCTTTCTCACTCAGGTCAGCAGTGGCCACCCCACCCCAGGTGGAACAGAGGGACCCACAGAGGTGCTGGTGCCTTGGGCCTTCCTCCATGCCCCCATGCGTGGCCCCGGGACTCCCCATTTCAGTCCTCAGGCCACTTCCTGTGGGCAGTGACCTAGTGCCATTATGGAGGTCTAGCAAGAATGACTGTGCTCCTTACCCCACAGTGTGGTCCTGAACCCACTGATTTGAAAAGGCTGGGGGAAAGCCACCTCTCTCCTCATGGAGTTACACCAGAGGGGGTTTCCCCACCCCCACCCTCCTTTAAAAAACAGTTTCATTGGCACTTCCGTCCATCCACATATCATACAATTCAATGGTTCAACCATATCAAAAGAGTTGTACAATCTTTACCACAATCAATTGTAGAACATTTCTTTTCCCCCATACTTACTGTCATTACTGTAATTTTTTCTCTTTTAATTTTGGCAAACATATACACAACAAAACATTCTCTAATCCAACCACTTCTCCATGTAGAAGTCAGCACCATTGATTATCCTCTTTGTGCTGTACGACCATTATTGATATCCCTCTCCAAAGTGTCCTGCACCCAATGGCCCCTGAGCAAAGCAAAACCTCTTCCTTCTTTTATTTATTTACTACACACAATGGAAACGGGGCTGATCTCTTTACCTGAACTGATGTGTCCCAGTAGGCTTGGCTAATTTGTTGGGGTTCTCTGGACTTTTGCGGGTAGGTGGAGGTGAGGCCTGGGGCTCGGCCTCCACTCCCCCACCCCCACCCCCAGCTCAGGCTCACCTGTCTGCCCCCAGACCCAGAAGCCGGTGGTGAAAACAGACATGGCGAAGCTGGCCCAGGAGCTGGAAGCCGTGGCCCAGGCCCAGGTGAGAGGGAGCTGAAACCCCCCCACACCCCCCTGGGGGGGGCAGGAGTCACAGCGAGGCCAGTGTGTGTGTGTGGGGGAGGGGTGCTGGGGGTGCTGGTATAGGGCAAGAGGGCAAGGGTGACCAACCACCTGGGGCTGCTGTTGTGCAGGGTGGGTGGCCTTGGGCAAGTCACTCAACCACCTGGGGGACTCAGTGTCCTCATCTGTACGGTAGAGCCGGGAGAGGGTCAATGTGCCCCACGGGTAACTGGAAGGCTGGTGGTTGGAGTCCACCGAGGAGCCGAAGCACCGAGAAAGAAAGGCGTGGTGGTCAAATGGCTGGAAATCCAGCTGCTGGAAACTGTGGGCACGGTTACACTCCGGCCCACATGGAGATACCGGGAGTTGGAATTGCTTGAGACCTGCTGGCCTTTTAAAAAGTGGCACTTTTTGAAGTGCCCAGGGCTGGGTGGCCCAGACAAGGTCACCTCTGCCCTCACCCCACCAGACGAGGTCCTTCTCACTGTCCGCTGCCATGGCAGCCGGCACTGATACAGGCGCTGTGAGGACAGAGCAGTGGATCAGATAGCATGACAGTGGCTCCAGAGAGCTGAAATGCTACCAGGAAAGAAAAAAGAAAAAAGTCGCCTTTTGTATTTATGAATATTTGGAGTTTAAAACTGTGCCCCTAAGACATATCACTGGATGACCGCAGCCCACCACTGCAGCCCCCTTTGGTTGGCCAAGGCGCATGCGCAGTGTCAGCAGCTCCGGCAGCCCAGGGCTGGGACTTGGCCGTGGGTTTCCGAACCCTCCGACCAGGCCCTGGAGCTGCCTCCGCTTTCTGCCTGTGAGCCCAGGTTCGGGAAAGGCTTGTAAAGGGTCCCCTGGTCAGGGTGCCACTCTGATCTCCATCCCCCCCACCCCCACCCCAGAGTGACGCGGCCCTGCAGCTGCAGCTGCAGGATGAAGCCCGAGCGCTCAGACGCCTCCATAAGGAGGTTGCCTTCCCCCAGCAGGCTCTTGTGGTAAGCTTGGGGTTCAGGGAGCCCAGGGGTGGGGTGCCAATGGTCCCTGCTCACTACTGACCCAGAGCCACCCAGCAGTGGCGCATCAGTAAGGCCTGGTGGATCCACTGCCACAAAAGATCACAGCCCAGAAACCCCCGGGGGGCATTTCCACTCGGTCACACACAGGGTCACCATGGTTGGGCTCCAAAGCCATGGGTTTGTTTTCTTGTCGTTGGTTTGGGGGGAGAGACCTGGAGGTCTGCAAGAGAGGAAGCAGGCAGCCGAGAACCTTCCCCTCCCTCCGTCCCTCCCTCTAACCACAGGCTCTCTCTGCAGGCTGAGCTCAACTACAGTGTCATAGCTCTGATGTCCTCCGCCCCACATCTCCAGGTGGCCGCCGAGGGCGGGGACGCGCGTTGGGTGGGAGGAGGTGGGCCTGGTCTCTGCCACATGGGCAGCAGAAGCGGCAGCGGAGGAAGGTCTACCAAGGACTTCGTCTGCTCTGCCCAGCCCCACCGGACGTTGAGGGTGGTCATGGGCAAAAGATGGGGGAGGGTGTGCAGATCCTTGAAGACCACCACCTTTGATCTCTGTGTCCTCAGGGCCTTGCATCCTTGTCCCCCCCCCCTCCTCCTTAAAGTGAGCATGCTCTGTGCTCCGTGGTGAGCTAGGAGCTAGCGAGTGGAAGGATGAAGGAAGGGGTGACTGGCTGTTCCTAGACTGAGCAGGGCCTGAAATCGAACCCTTGCCTCCCCACCCACCAGGCAGAGACTTCCGACGTTCTGGAAAAGGCCACTTACTTGAAAGGGGAACTTCCAGCCTGGGCCACCCGTATCCTGAGGAATGTGAGTGGGCAAGGGTGAGAAGGGTGGGTGGGCTCCGAGCTGGAGCTCGTCACTATGGGACTGGCTCTCTCCCGGTGGCTCCCAGCAAAGCCATTAGGCCTAGCCTGGTCATGCCAGCATGGTGTGTGGGGGTGGGGAAAGGCAGTGTGGGGTGCTGGGCCCCTGACAGGCCAGGCCTCTTTCTCTCCTGCAGGAGAGTGATTGCTACCTGAGCCGGGAGGTGAACTACTTCTCCCAGTACGTGAACTGGGTGCGAAAGGAGGTGAGTGGGATCAAACCCTGCCTGTCTTCTGATCCACCACCCATCACCTACCTCCAGTGACACCAGGCCTGCCCTCTCTTGCTTCCCACACCTCCTTGGGATTGCTCCAGGCCTTCAGCAGCAACCCAAACACCCCAGCCTGGCTTCGGAACCCTCTGCCTGCCCAGTGTCTGTTGCTGCCCTCTGTGCGCCTTGAATGTGAGCTGGCCGGGCGTGGCTCTCTAGAACACTCTGCCCTCGCCATGCCCCATACCACTTCCCATGCTGGTTCCCTGGTCCAGCTTGTCTGAAGCCAACCTAGCCCTCAGATCTGACCCTTCTTGGGCACCGACACCGGATCTGCTGGGGTTCTTGCTCAGTGTGTGTGTGTGTGCGCGTGCGTGTGTGTGTGTGTGTGTGTGTGTGTGCACATGACACATCTGTGCATACATGTGCATGCACATTGCTCTCCAAGCAGAGCCTTCCCTAAGCACAGGGTGGGGCCTGCAGGTTGGTAGATGAGATAAACAGGACAGGAGTGGGGCAGTGAGCCTCTGTCCCCATCACTCTGGGCGCCTGTGGCCCAGTGTCTCTACGTGAACCTGCTCTATGTTCCCATGTCTAGGTGTACTCCAGCCCTAACAGGGGCTTCCCTCTGAGTATGGGGTACACCTGTGACCTGTGTGTCTCTGCATGTACCTGCCTTGTGTTGACACCACAGGTGACTCAGCATATCGCCACCTGCCAGCCCCTATCCGGAGCCATGGACAATGGCCGTGTGATTCTGTGTGACATGATTACGGCCCCCTGGGTAAGTGTCTGTTGGGTGACCAGGGCCCTGGGAGCAGGCCATGAGGCAAGCAGGGCCCTGTTCTTCAGGCCCTTCCTGGACCAAGTGCAGGAAGCAGGGATGAGAGGGTGGGAAGGCATTCCTTTCCAGCCCGTGGGGGCTGACCCTGGCCCTTGTCCCAGAATGCCTTCTGGTTCTGCCTGGCTTGGTGCACCTTCTTCCTGATCCCGAGCATCATCTTTGCTGTCAAGACCGCCAAGTACTTCCGCCCCATCCGGAAACGTCTCAGGTGAGGGGGCGATCAGGATCCTTGTGGGCAGTTGAGGCTCAGGACAGAGTCCTTCCAGCTGCCAGGCCCCAGCCCGCAGCCCAACCCACTCCTGACTCCGCCCAGGCAGAAGGTGTTCATGGTTAAGTCTTAAAGAGCCACATGCTTCAAGGAGCTCCGGGGTCAAAAAGTTGCCCCGTAGCCTTCTCACTGCAATACATGTCCCCCCACCACCACCTCCCACCTCAGGCATAGCTTCTTGGACCCCTTCTTAGCCCCCAGAGGACTTCTCAGGAAGGAAAATCGGGGCTCTGGGCTTTGTCCCTGTGTCCAGGGCTGAGGGCCTGTGGCTGGGGCCTCACTCTCTTTCTGCGGATGCCACAGTTCCACCAGCTCAGAGGAGACCCAGCTCTTCCACATTCCCCGAGTCACCTCCCTGAAGTTGTAGCTCGTGCCACGGTGAGTGTACACTTGCCCTTCACCCCGAGGAGGGAAGGGGCTGCGTGGGAATGTGGGGACTTGGCAGGGCCTGTGGGGTGGGCCAGTCAAGCTGCCCACCTGACAGGCCCACCCTCTGCTCTCTCTTTCCCTCCCCAAGGGGCTCCCTTGGTAACCTGCAGCAGGGATGTTTGCTAACCACAGCGATGGCCCTGGGACTACCTGCCCCTTGACTCAGCCTAACCCTGGAGGTTTCTGCAGCCCCCCAGAGCCCAGACTGCCCCTGACCCCTGCAGGGATTGTTCTCCTCCGATTTCCCCTGGTCCCTATCCCCCCCTTTCTACTCCTGCCCCCGCCCTCTATTCATGCTCAGAAACTAAGCCAACAGGTTGTTTGTCCTCACTTCCCTTTGCGGCAGTATAGCCAGCCAGGCAGAACCTGTTTCCAAGGACGCCTTCCCCAGGCCTTTGGGCGGAAGACACCCAGTTCAGCCTGGTTCATCAACCTTTGTCCCTTCCGCTGGCCCATGCCGCCCCTGCTCCTCTCCAAGCCCTGTGCAACCTAGTCTTTATAAGTTGTCTCCCCACCTGCCCC